CCCACCTCCCCCCTCTACTTTGCAACACAATTTAGATCATTTAGGAGGCGGGTTTCCGACCCTGCCTGCATGGCCAACCGAGCTGAGGGGGATACATCACAGCAGAATGACCGAGATACTCGATCAAAGTTGTCTCCCCGCTCGAGAATCGAACTCCGGTTTCTTGCGTGCGACAGCGAAGTGTCTAACCACTACAGTGTGTCATCAGTGACTTCACTGTGTGTTCAGTAACTCGACTGTGTGTTCGGGGACTTCACTGTGTGTTCGGTGACTTCACTGCCTTACTGTGTGTTCAGTAACTCCACTGTGTGTTCAGTGACCTTTTGGTGTGTTCGGTGACTTCACTGTTGTGTTCAGTAACTTCACGCACTGCCCCACTGTGTGTTCAGTAACTTCACTTCTCACTGTGAGTTCAGTAACTTCACGGCCCCACTGTATGCTCAGTCATCTCACTAGAATATTTTCAGTGACCTCAATATATTCAGTTACCTCACAGCAGTTGATACGACGATCAGGACCTTTGTGTCTGTCCTATGTGTTCTTGCTTTCTTGGAAACACGTCGTGGCAGTCTGACCATTCACTCCGTAAGGACGTAGCGGGCACACAATGACAGGTGCCTGACACATCCGACACATAATGGCACATGTTCGACACATAATGACACGTTTGACACATACTGACACATTTCCAACTCATAATGACACATGTCCAACACATAATGACACATATCCGACAAATAATGACTCAGCCTCTCAGCTCAGCAGACCATAGGTCATGTTGTGCCCCATTTCCAACTTAAAACACTAGTCAGAAACACAAGTTTACATAATATTTCCTATCAAACATCTATTGTCCTTATCTCTCCTTCTTTTTTCTGTTTGTTACTCTCTTGTAACTCCTCTAATTTTCGGCAGTGATATGACTTTACTGAGTTGCAAGTGCCGAAAAACACTTACTAAAACGTAAACATAACTGAAACTGCCTTCATGTGTAAAAGGCTCCAAACCAGTGCGTCTTCTAGAGTTGTTGAAAGAACCAGCAGAGCGCTCTCCTGAAAGAGTTCTCTAACAACATTTAACACTGCGCTCATTGTTTGCTAGGTCGATGAGGGTCTGAGTGCCACCGGGAGATGACAGAACCGGTGTGTAGACAGTCGTTAAAACTCGGGACATTTACTGGTCACAATCGATCACTGCTCACATATCGATCATTTGCTAGTGAACAGGAGCTGGGGGAGGTGGGTGTGTTCTTGCACTTCTTGGAAGTCGTGGCGGAAGTGGTGAGGTGCGGTGGTGTATTGGGGTATGGGGTGGTGGTGGAGGAGGAAGGGAGGTTGTTTGTCGTCCCAGTGGGTGGTCGTTGTGAGAGGGTGTGAGAGAGAGAGAGAGAGAGAGAGAGAGAGAGAGAGAGAGAGAGAGTCTTTTTAAAAACTCATTTCTGTATGGATTTTAGTGAAAAACTCTGATCAAGGGCACGCATACAAAATGTATGCAGTTACCAAGGAGGGCACTCTAAAGCTATGGAAGTCACTATAATTTAGTAAACTTTGGCGGTAATTTTCAGGCTAA